GAACCAGATAAAGATTATTCCTATTTATAACCCAATTCTTTTCTTTCTCTGTGAAGCATCTATTTTATTGCAAGTCGTATATGTGATAAAAGGTTATAGATGGTACTTGATGTAATTATTCTTTCAAATTATTACTTCAGGTTCTGATCAATGAAAAACATAAATAAATCCCAGTTTGGAGAAATTGCTTTGTTCATTGAAAACAGCTCCAGGACACAGATCAGAGACAGGAAATGTTCCTGCAGACACGTGGTCACTGGGAGCTGAGGGCCGACAGACTGTCCCCTGGTAGGCTCAAGGCTATGGCTTAACCACACACAGTGTGAGGCAGTGAGCGGCCAGGAGCTGTGCCAGAGGCCGCTGTGGGCTCGGATGTCCAGGTGGAAGGCCACAGAGTCCCGTCTGAGTTCAGTCCCTGCACCCTGTTCTGTTCATGGTCATGGGCACTGAGGTGGTGAGTCTGGTAGCTGTGGGCTGAGAGGTGAACTCACGCCGGAGAGAACCGGGGAAGCCCCCCTGTTTCCAAAACCAAAGCGGCCGCTGAACCCTAACAGAATGAATGCACTTGCTAAACTACAGGGCTCCCAGGAGCTCCTGAAGAAAGTACAGACGATGGACTGTGGGAGCCTCGGTCAAGAGCCAGCAGCGCTGACCCTCAGATCTCCACAGAGGCAGAAACCACCAGTGACCTGGATCAAGGGGCCATTATGGGAGGTGGAAAGCTACAAAACTCATTTTGACTTTACAGAGGCAATGTACAGATATGGGCCCCTCTGTGTATGTTCGTGGGAGGCTGGTTATCCATGGAAGCTCAGACCTCAGACAGCCAGGGCTAGAAACACAGCCTGCCATCTCCCTCCCATTTTTAGATTCAAAGTTACTTTTTTTTCCCAATTGCTTAACAGTAATACATAATTACGGAGTAACAATGAAGGTGGGGGAACCCCCCAAAACCCAAAACCCGACAGGCACCACTGTAGACACAGTTGTTGGGTGCTTCGAGGACGACCTCATGAACAGCAGCTCTGAGCCCTCTCCCCCCGGCCTCCTGCCACTGCTCACACACTTGAGCCTGTCGCTGCCTCACAGACATTCACAAAGAAACAGACGAGGCAGATGTGCTGGTCCCCGTGGGGGGAAAGAGGGATTTCCAAAAGAACTGCCATCATCAGGAAGTTCTCGCTGAGGATGCGAATCAAGCCAAGGTCGTCCTCTGTTCTCCACGTCACTTTGTAGCCAGCCCGAGATGAAAAGAGAGTCATGCTTCTCAGAAATCCCGGACACTTTGGGACTCCGGAGCTATGTGGTGGAGCACTCTCATAGCAGGAGTTACGACACTGAGAAGCCGCGGCACAGATGCCATCACGTTAGATTACTGGAAAACCGTCCTGCGTTTTACTTTATTTAATGTGACACATAAAGAAAATCGAGCACAAATATCTGTCTTTAATTTCTCTAGTGTAAAAAAAAGAGGGAGAAATAGATTGTGTCTGGCAGAACGAAACAGATGAAATAGCCTGAGTGCATTAAAGAGAAGGCGGGGAGCAGCGGACGGCGCGAGCTGGGGCAGCCGGCAGAGCTGCACGAGGAGCTATCACAGCCACTCCGGAAGGAGGGATAAAGAATTTAATCAACTCAACTTCATATTCTTTTCCTCTCCCCCGTGCAATAAGCACATATTACAAAAAGGAAACTTTACATTCATGACTGCTTCTGCGGAAGATGGCAGACCCGCACGTGAACAAAAGCCGCGACCGTGGAAACCTCAGTGTGAAGACGCCCATTTGCCAACAGACACGTTTCATTTTTCCAAGATGAAAGGTCTCCAACTCAAAAATTTATGAACGTAAAATTCAAATTTAAATTAGCTTGTTAAAAGTATATTTAAATCTCACATCCTTATGTTCCACAACATAACAATGCAGGTTCTTTGAATGTAGTAAGGGAACCACTTCCCGTGACTGCCCTGGTCACTGCCTGGTGCTGGGGGCTAGGGAACGACTCCTCAGGACAATGGCTCTGCAGTGTGATGCACGCATGCACGGTAGGAATCCCCATTTTCAATTCTTGTACATTCACTAATAGAATTAAAAAGCCTGAGGACAGCATGCTTTTACCTGCAGTTTATGCCTCTAACTGCGGCTCTCAGATGAAGGGGAGAGAGTTGGTTTCTTAAATGAAGTGGAGTCTGTGAGGCTTGAACACCCCAAGATGAGCTCTTCGGTTCTAAGCACGGGGTCCCCTGAGCCAGCATCACTGCTCCCCCTTTCCTTCAGTCAGGTGCCCTTCCCCCCCCTTACCAGGCGATTACCAGGTAAGGACAAAAACATCAGACACACACCGCAAAATCCAATGCTGCACTTACAGCTCAAAGCAGATTTGTAGTAAAAAGGATGCATAAGTACATGTGATCCTCAGTCAAAATCTTTTCTAAACTTTTTACGTAAATATATGAACGGATAGTGAGCGATTTCTGAGCATGTCATGATCGTGAATCAGGGGGCCTTTCCAGGCACTACTCTAAGTTAAACTACTTCCACAGGACAAATCTCCTCCTCCGAAGCGTCTTTTGGGATAGTCACAAAACACACTGTCTCCTTATAACTGGGCTCAGTGAAAAAATAAAGACTGCAAGGCGTGGTGGGAAGCGGGGTCCGCTCAGCGCCTGGCCTTCGAGGGACGCTCCTGGCAGCGTGGCTCTGGGGCGCTGTCCGGGACACAGCGGAACCGCTGCCCTGCGGCCCATGAGTGGAAAGCTCGCTCAGCTCCCCGTACAGGGGCTTCAGTGAGCTGCTTAGCCCTTCAGTGCAGGGGTCCTCAGAGTGCACCCTCAAAGTGCAAAGGCCCGCGTGTCACCAATTAGTGGGCACCTAGTGTAAGCTGCGTGCCTGGCTGTCCGTGCCCCACTCTCCACGTTTGGGGGCGCTGGACTGGCCGCACCATCCCCTGGGACCTCCGGATCCCCCACAACATGCAAGGGGCCAGGCGGTGGGGGCCAGCACGGCACTCAGCCCAGCCGATGTCCTCATGTCCGCGGCCAGCGCGCGGAGGCGCAGAGCTCCATGGCTTCTGGCCGCCGGAGACCCCCATGTCTGCAGTCGCCAAGGGACGGTAAGGAAGTGCAGAAGGGTGCAAGGGGTGGCCTTACACTGCGTTGTGCGCTGCTGCCCCTGCTCCAACCTGCCAAGGGTAGCAGTGCTCAGAGAAGGGGGCTCGTGGGTCCTGCTGGGAGCCCCAAATGTGGTGACCCAGCCACATCGGAATTGATCACTATGGCGTGAAGAGGAGGGAGCCCAACGCGCAGCGCTGAGATGAAGGGAACCGACTGTGGGGTGTGGCGTGGGAAGCGTACCTATTCAGGTACCACACCGAAGCCATGGCTCACGCCCCACTAACTGGGGGCTGGGGAGCCGCCCAGAGCCTTTGCTTCAGAGTGAAGCGGCAGTCACAGCCCCAGATCTGGCTCAGGAGGCGCCCCCCACCCCCGCACAAACCCCAAAACCCAGTGGAGACCACGGGAGGAGGCAAAGTGGGGCTTACGTGCTCTTTCCCTTCCTGGGTTTTAATTGTTCCCGTTTTGGTTTTTTAAGGTTTCAAAATTTAGAAATTTTTATTTCCTTCGATTTCCTCCTGGAAGAAGCAGGAATGGCTAAAGTTTGTCTTTCTTTTAAAATGACAGCCACTTCTCTTTAATCTGTGTTGCGATAGGCGCCTCAATTAGAACTGGACCCTCACAAGCACCAGGACGCTTGGCCAGGCCTCCTGCAGCTGGACCCAATGTGGGAGCAGAGGGGCCGCACCCTCAGACGTAGGAGGGGTCAGCGCCAGCAGCTCTGATCTTCCCACCACCCCTCTCAGTTTGAGCTCATCCCTCACCACCAAAGGCCCTGCTGTGCAGATATTTCTACCAGTCGCAGACCAGCGTCCTCAGTCACTGTCACGTGGGCAGGTGCCCCAGGTGGAGAGGCGGGTGAGGTGGGCTGAACAGTTTCTAAACCTCCCAGCGGGATCCTACGAGGGGAGGATCCACTTCACAGTCCTTTCAACTACCGGGAAGGAACCGAGATGCTAAAAAGACAGCACATAACGGCTTAGCTTAAAAAATATCATTTCAACACAGGGAAACGCCCAGAAAGGGGCACAGGTACGAGCCCACCTAAAGCGAGTAGTCAAGCCCCGCTGTTTCCGGAGAGCGCGCACTCTGAACCTGCACTGGACAGACTCCTGATGACCTGACTAGAGACCTAAAGACCCGGCCCAAGAATACACCTGGGTTGGCCCTTCAGCATCAGAACGACAAGGGGCTGAGAGGACACCGCGGGCTTCCTTCCGGGCTTCCTTCCTTCGGTGTGGTTCCTTCCAGGACCAGCCCAACCACGCGAGGCGCCTTGGCGCCCACGTCCTCCGGGCGGCTCCCTGCGGGCAGCAGGCTCCCACCTGGGGGCGAGGGGCCTGCGACGCGGGCTCGGCGGAGGGAGGCTCGGCGCCGGGCGCGCCCTGCCCTGGCGAGCGCTCTGCGATTGGCCGCCGCGCGCCTGGCCCTGCCTTTATAATTTGCACACGAGTGCATCTGGGCTCTTAGGCAAACCCGCAGCCGCGTCTTCTGACACATACACACGCACACTCACCCGACACGCGCCCGGCGCCTGCTCCCGGCCGCGGACCATCGGGCGCGCACCATGCTGCCGCCGCAGCGGCGATAAAGGCCGAGAGGGGCGCGCAGGGGCCGGGCCGCTCTGCGCGCAACTTTGGTTTGTGTGGCTGAGAAGGGACCCCTCCCTTCCTCTTCTCCCCAGGATTCTTCGAGAGGAGGAGGCGCACAGCCGGGACGCGAGCTCAGGCAGGGGCAGGCAGGGGCCGCGGCAGCCAGGACCCCGGGCCCTCGCCGAGCGCTCGCGCGGGCCCTTTCTCCCCCGAAGTTGGCTCCCGCGCCAGCAGCCGCATTGGATCCGTCGGCCTACTGCGAGACTCCGGTGTACAACCCGGATCTCTGCCCCAACATGATCGCGGCGCAGGCCAAGCTGGTCTACCACCTCAACAAGTACTACAACGAGAAGTGCCAGGCCCGCAAGGCGGCCATCGCCAAGACCATCCGCGAGGTGTGCAAGGTGGTGTCGGACGTGCTCAAGGAGGTGGAGGTGCAGGAGCCCCGCTTCATTAGCTCGCTCAACGAGATGGATAACCGCTACGAGGGCCTGGAGGTCGTGTCGCCCACCGAGTTCGAGGTGGTGCTCTACCTCAACCAGATGGGCGTGTTCAACTTCGTGGACGATGGCTCGCTGCCCGGCTGCGCGGTGCTCAAGCTCAGCGACGGCCGCAAGCGGAGCATGTCGCTGTGGGTGGAGTTCATCACCGCCTCCGGGTACCTCTCGGCCCGCAAGATCCGCTCCCGCTTCCAGACGCTGGTGGCCCAGGCCGTGGACAAGTGCAGCTACCGGGACGTGGTGAAGATGGTGGCGGACACCAGCGAGGTCAAGCTGCGCATCCGTGACCGCTACGTGGTGCAGATCACGCCGGCCTTCAAGTGCACAGGCATCTGGCCACGCAGCGCTGCACACTGGCCGCTGCCGCACATCCCCTGGCCGGGCCCCAACCGCGTGGCCGAGGTCAAGGCCGAGGGCTTCAACCTCCTGTCCAAGGAGTGCCACTCGCTGGCCGGCAAGCAGAGCTCGGCCGAGAGCGACGCCTGGGTGCTGCAGTTCGCCGAGGCCGAGAACAGACTGCAGATGGGCGGCTGTCGCAAGAAGTGCCTGTCCATCCTCAAGACGCTGCGGGACCGGCACCTGGAGCTGCCCGGCCAGCCGCTCAACAACTACCACATGAAGACGCTGGTCTCCTACGAGTGCGAGAAGCACCCGCGCGAGGCCGACTGGGACGAGTCGTGCCTGGGCGACCGCCTCAACGGCATCCTACTGCAGCTCATCTCCTGCCTGCAGTGCCGCCGCTGTCCCCACTACTTCCTCCCCAACCTCGACCTGTTCCAGGGCAAGCCGCACTCGGCGCTGGAGAACGCGGCCAAGCAGACGTGGCGCCTGGCGCGCGAGATCCTCACCAACCCCAAGAGCCTGGAGAAACTTTAGAGGCCTGGCCGGAGCCTGGACCAGCCACTGTCCCCGCCGCCGGCCCGTGGGCACGTCCTGCTCCGTCTCCAAGCCTCCTCCAGAAGGAACTCCGCAGGGCTTGGGCCTCCGAGGCGGGATGGGCGCGGAGCCGGCGGCGGCGAAGGCCCGGAGCCTGCGTCTCACCGCCGGGGAGGGAGCCGGGTGGGCCGGCGGCCTGGCCGAGGAACGCGCTCCCTGGGTCGCCTTCCTAGGATCGGAGGAGGATTGTCCTCCTTGGATCGCCTTCCGAGGATCGCCTTCCGAGAGGAACGCGCTCCCTGGGTCGCCCAGCCCTCGCGCAGCCCCAGGACACACTGACCACGAACAAGTAATGTGTATTTCATTTCGTAACAAATGTTGTGAGCTCTCCTTGTTTTTCAAAATGTGGATGTTGGTGTTTCGTGATTTGGTGAAAAGGAAGTTACAGTGCAACTCCGGAGGCCCCCAGACCTTTCTCACTTACAAAGATTCCATTTCAAGGTACACTTTTACCCCCCTTTCCTGGTACTTTCATCTGTCTTCCAAAGTGTCTGGACATAAAAAGAAAAGTTTACATTTTGTTTCAAATATATTGCTTGTTCTAGTTTTATTTCTAACATTCCATAAATATACTTGAAATGTTATTTAAATATATTCAAAGAAATTGGAATTCAGCTTATATAATAACGCTTGAATATCTGAGTTATATATTTGAAAAATGCACTGAGATACACTGGAGCATTACTTTTGTGATTTAGATTTTAATTTCTGTTGATGTTTTTATTTAATTAGAAGCTAATAAATAAAGTGAAATGTAATATGTTCCGTTTCACTTTAAGTTGGTTCCCCTCTGTCAAAAGATGTAGAGTTTTATTTCACCAGTGGAACCCACTTGAATATTCTCGGCATGTTGAGAAATACATTAATGGAATCATTAAAAACTGAAACCTTAACTTAAAATATGGGCGAGCAGCTCTTTCTTGGTCTCGGACCCCCACTTCCCTGGGTTCCTGCTCACAGCTGCCTCTGAGATGATCACCCCATACAGCAGGCACCATTTCTTCTGGGCCCCATTTCTACAGTGCCTCCCCTTGATGTGGGGAAGACCTCTCACAGAGATGGGGATGCCAGGTATATACACTGGCTCTCAAAAGAGAAAGTCAAAAGGAGAGTTTGGCAAATGTGTGTGTAAACTGTGTTAACATAATGAAGATGGTCCCTGCCCTATTCTGTGGCAAGCCTTGCTTACTGCAGTTAAGATACCTCCACTCCACGAGTGGAAACAAACACATACACATCTCTCTCTATCAGACTTCCACAATCCCCACTCACATCACACGGCAGCTGGTGACAAAAGCTTAAAGACCAACTATTTCAATTGTTTTAAACCAAACAGGTTGCAGTCAAGATTCTCTCCTAGTAAATGAAAAGCTTTGGGGTTACACAGTGAAGAGGACCTTCACTGCCCACACGTGCTGAGGGATAACGTCCAGGGGCATAGGGGCTACTTGGCATCTGAGGTGCTTTTAGAATTTCAGTGGCTAGCCTACCAATATTCTTTACAGCACTGCTTTTGATAGAGAAATTAAACAGAGAAAGGTGTGGATTTAACGTGAAAAAAATTGTCTTTGGATTTACAAAGACTGTCTAGGGTGGAGGCAGGGGACCACTGAAAGGAAAACTAATAAAAATGATACTAGACTAGCTGGCCTGGTAACTAACCCTCTTCAATCCTGACGCCCAGAACACAGCAAGTTACCAGCTCCACGGAACCGTCCAGCTAAACAACAGACTGACCTGTGTGGGAAGGGCCTCGCTCCCTAGATGTCCCCACACCCTAGACAGACAGACAGACACAGACACACACACACACACACACACACACACACACACACACACACACACACACACTGCAGCTAAATATGGCCCAAATACGCATCTCCTGACAGCTTCCATCAAGGGCTTGCTGCCAGTGGCTGCGGAGACACAGTGCTCCTCGGCAAACCCCACTGAAACCAGAGTTGTTCAGGCAGCCTGTTTCTCTTTCTCTTAAAACCACAGCAAAACTCACTTCAGGAGATGGGGGGAAAGTACATTTAAAAAGAGAGATCAATTTGTATCTAAATCCTGCCTCCTCCAAAGTTGGCCTTCCATAAGTAACGATTCCTATCGCAATCCACACCTCTGGATATTAAAAGGGTTCTTAATAAGAAACCTCATATGCCCCTTCTTCCAACTCCCCTTCTCAGAAGGCTGAAATGCTGTGCCCTGGGGGACCGGGGTGCAATTGGCTTAACTAGGAAATCTGCAGCAACTCGGCCACACAAAGGCATCCGGAGAGAGGCTGAGAAGTGTGTGAGCTCCAGCAATACAGGATTTAAATTCATTAATGCACTCTTCAATTTCAGAAAGGAGGACACACCATTTCCTCCCGCTGCTGTTCCCAGCTAAGAAGGCCAGCCGGTTCCCCTCCCCCACTGTCATTTAAAACCCATGAAAATGGAAACTCTCGCCCGCAGCCTCAGAGCCGCCAGCCCTGCATGAAACCCTGTGACTCACTTTTGTGTCGACCTTCTTGAACGCGGCATCGTCTTCGTCCACCTCGAAGTAGATTTCCGTGGTGGTAATGGACAGTGTCCCCTTGGCCACCACCACCGGGGCAATGAGCTGGGCAGGGGTGCTGAGAACCACGGGTCCTGTGAGGAGGGACAGAAGTCAGCTGGGCCCCCACTCCCTCTCAGGCATACAAGCTATTTTATCTTTAAAGATGCACCCAAAGAAGAGAAAACGCAAAGGCCAGGCTGCTTAAGGGGCCAGAGCCCCGTCGGTGTAAGATTTTGTCCTCAGCCTCGGCAAGTTCTCTTCTAATGAGACTGGGGAGAAATAATTCCGAACACCTCCCTGAGGTCCGGAGCCCCGGAAGTGACCCTTAACAAGCAAGTTTTCACCCACCACCTGGAAACTCTCCACACCCATGAGCGCTGCCATGGACCACACCAGCAGAGCAGAAGTGGCCAGTGACCCGGCCTGGCTGCTGGCTGGGAGTGCTTGTCCGGCAAGCCGGGGACCGCAGACTCCCCAGCAGTGTGGAGGGTCTAGCAGAAAAGCAGCCCCATTGTCCTAACGGGTTCGGGTTCGAAGCTTGCAGAAAGTTCATTTCTTAAGGGCACCGGAGGCGGGGCGGTGGGGTTCCTACAGAGACTAGGACAAGCCTGCTCTCTGCTCCCCACCTAAACCTTGGAAAGGAAATCCAGGAAATCAGAAGTGAGAGAAAGTGAGGTGCGGGAAGGAGGGGCTCCCCAAACTGTATCCAAAATGCTTTGTCGAACTAGACTAGAGACAAGGGTTGGAAAAAGTTTAACTGCTAGAAATTGGGGTGCTTGATTACAACTCCACCAGAGCGAGGGGTGACAGGGCCCTTCCACTTCTGCTCCCATCCCAGTTCCCAAAGTGCCCCGTGATGCAAAGCGGGTCCCAAGGGCACCCATCGCTGCTTGGCAGTGGGGCCTCCGGCAGAGGCAGCTTTTCTGGTGTCGAGCACCCCAAGTCGGCTGCAAGGCCAGTCAGTGTCAGCGCCCCTGGGGCCCCAGCATAGCCGTAGCGCCCCAGCCCTGACCCGGCCCTGGGCCCGGGGGCGCCTGCTCCGGCTGCGGCCCTGACTCGGAGAGCTCCCTCCCTAGAGGGCGGCCAGTTGATCTGAAAGCGCAGCTTTAAAGCCTCATCAATCTTAATCTAGCTTGCTCAAGTAATTATGCCGAATCTCTTGTACGATTACAAGTGGATTTGGGTTTCTATTCCCCAGACCCTCCTTTGTGTTTATTGGAGGGTCTGCACTGGCCCTTAACCCTTCAGCCACCAAGCTTCTCAGAGGCCAGTGTCCACAGCCCCAGGGACTGCAGACCCTGACACAGTAGGATGACGGCCAGCATGTCAGGAGCTCGCTCCACTCGGATGCGGACAGTCCACACACAAGGGGCCACTGTGCGTGGAGATGCCCGCAGCCTTGTTCTCTCAGGCCATACAGTGTGACCCCATAATTAAACGGGGTAAGTTTTAAAGGAAAAAAAGGCACTTATTATCCAAATCAAACTCTGATTTGCAACAAAATTTAAGGATCTTCAGCTCAGCAAGCTTTAAGGGAAAGAGCATTTCTCGGCATTTGGGGTGGAGGGGAGAACCTTCCCCTGACACACCAACACTTTCCCCAGATTTTACAAAAAGCTCTGGGCCAAGCTTGCTTTCGAGCTGTGGCCTGCACAGGCCAACGGGCGCTTTTCAGGGCCTTTATGAATCCTCCAATCACAACTGGCAGGCCTCAGAATGTTGGGGAGCTGCAAATCAGCAGCAGAACGAATACTCAGTTAATCCACCACATCAATGGAGAGGGGGGATTACGCTTTAACCCCCTTTGCCCCCCACCCTGGATTTTTGGGATCTGATACTAAAATGTTTACACAAGGTACAATCACACATCAGCAGGTCTGTCACGTGGTCCCATGAGGCAGCAACCTTGGGTGTCTTTCCACATAAATGTCTACTGAAAAGGGCTGTCTTTGGAAGAAGGCACAGGGACCCAGCTAATGCTGTGGAGGGTAACCAGCACCCATTTAACCTCCCCAAGGGCTCCGGGGGAAGGGAAGTAAGTGCAAATCCGTCAGCCCAGTCAGCGGCCCTACCATCGAGGGATGGTTTATCATGACATCTTCAGCACATGTGTACAAACCAAAGGGGGGCTGTGACAGGGTGGTTTAAAAATGGGTGACCTGACTTGGAACAAAGATAGTTTGGCATCATAAAATGAATCTTTTTTTAAAAAAATCCAAAACTTCAGAGTCTTGGGATCTTTAATCTATTGAGATGGCAGCCCCCCTGTGGACCCTTGGGGGAGACTGCATATGCTTTATATTTGAGAAGTCAACCACTCATCAAACATATTTTAAAATAGAATGTTAAAAGATACTTGTGGGCTTGCATGATTTTTGCTGAAAATCAAAATTCCAGGGACAGAAATGTGAATAAAAGGAAGGGACACTTTGCAAGTTTTACGGCTTACAAAGTTCTCTTTTGCATTTGCGTTGATGGACAGTCGGAATGATGCTCTCTGGAACATGGAGGTACCTGTGCCCTTTGCCAAAGATGACCATCAGAGGCAGAAGGTCCTGGAAGCCTGCAGACTCCCGAGGGCCCTGGCTTTCCTGTGTAGAGCACAGCCGTGTTCCACTAGATGGTGGCCGAGCAAGTGTGCAGTACCACATTAGAAAAGGATGTGAACTAGTAAGAGAATTACCAGAATAGGATCCAGATATGCACGGTGAGTACATGCTGTTGGACTAAAGGCTGTAACAAACTTGATAGAGGCAGGACTCCCACAAACCTTCAGTTTGCAAAAAATACAATGTATCCAAATTCAAGCCTGGAGTCTCAATGCTGAAGCTTTTGGGCAGAATCTTGAATGATGCGGAGAGCATCAAAGGAAGACGGAAGGAATGCACAGGGTCACTGTGCCGAAAGGACTGGTCGATATGGAAGCATGGAGAAGTAGAATACGGTCAAGGGCAAAGGGCAAGCGCTGTGGGCAGGCAGGTGGGTGAAGCGGGGGAACCAAGCCATCGATGAAGCCAAGCAAAGGCTACACTGAGAGCGTGGGAAAAGTTAGGCCCCAGGAAGTGCCACCTGACATGTTAGGGAAACAGATGTGGCCCTGCACGTAGTCACCAGGCTGTCAGCAAACAGGGCGGGCAGCTACCTAGCCTCCTAACTGGAACGGATCCATATTTGTTCTTATTCTTAAAAAGGTGACCAAACATCATGTGGGGATTACTGAATATCATTAATGTCACGTGCAAGTAAAAGCTTGGTGAAGATTATTCAAAAGTGATTGGAACAGCCCACCAACAGGGAACTGCCAGAAACTCAGGCTGGGTTCCAAAGAGGCCGTGGCACAGGACCAGCAGTGCTGATGGCAGACTGATCTGGGCTGAAAGTGGAGAAAACTAGAAAGATGATTACTTGTGTTTCATTGACTATGCAGAGGCATTTGACTGTATGTTGCTGCTCTTATATGCCACGAAGTACGACTCCTAGCAACCGTGGGAACCACAGATGTGACCCCTGCCCTCTCCTGTGCCACCCCCATCACCTCTGACATATTTGAGACCCATCACTGCAGACACTGTGTCAGTTCATCTGGTTAGGGTCTTCCTCTTTTGCTGACTCTCCACCTTCCCAAGTGATGTCCCTTTCCAATGAATGTCCTTTCTAGTAACAAGCCCCAAGTATATGGGACAAAGCATTGTTCTTGCCTCCAAAGAGCACTCCGGCTGCACCCTCTCCAAGACCTAGCTGCTTGTTCTCTTGGTCGTCCATGGGATGTTCAGTGCTCTTCTCCAACACCACAGCTCAAAGGCTTCAATTCTTCTGTCATTCGCATTTCCTGTTTAGCTCTCAGATGCACAGCAAGCTCTCAGGCATATTGGATTTTTTTTTTTAAACTGTGTGGACCACAGGCACTTGGGGCTAACACTGACAAGAATGGGAATCTCAAAACACTTAATACCAAGATCAAGATGTTGTTCCAGTATAACTAGGGAACCCTTCATGGTTATAATCAGAGAAGCTGTGCACCAGGGTTGTATCCTTTCTCTGTACCTATTCACTGTGTGTGCAGACCAAATCATTAGAAGCTGGACAATATAAAGAATGTGGAATTAGGATTGGCAGAAGATCCATTAACAACCTGCGTTATGCAGATAACACAACCTTGCTTGCAGAAAGTGAAGACTTGAAGCACTTAATGCAAAAGATCAAAGACTACAGCCTTCAATATGAGTTACATCTCAGTATCAAGAAAACAAAAATCCCCACCCCCGGACCAATAGGCAACATCGTGACAGACAGAGAAAAGACTGAAGTTAATGATTTAGTTTTACTTGGATCCCCAACCAGCACCCATGGCAGCAGCAGTCAAGAAATTAAAAGCAATGTTGCATTGGGGAAATGTATTGTCAAGGACCACTCCAAATTCTAAAGAGCAAGGATGCCAGACTATGGAATAAGGTGCACCTGATCCAGGTGACAAGATTTTCAATTGCTTCTTATGCATCTGAAGGTTGGGACACTGAATAAAGATGCAGCAGCAGCAGCAGCGATGCCTGTGACTGGTTTGTGGGTGACGTGAATTGAGTGTCACACGGCTGCCAACACAGCAAGGTCGTCTGTCTCAAAGACAGTGCTGCTGGGGTGCCATCGAGGCACAGAGATGGCAACCTTTCATCTCACCTACTTTGGACACACTGTCAGGAAGATTCAGTCCTTGGAAGAAGATGCCATGCTGGGAAGAGTAGAGGGTACACAGGAGAAAGACCTTGAGCAGAGGAGCTGACATGGTGATGGCTCTAGTCCGTATTTGAGATTTTGAGGGTAGGGCAGGACAGGGGAAGGGGCACTGGTGCTCACAGGGTGTTCTGAGTCACATTCGACTTGATGGTCCTTAACAACAAGAGGACAAGAAGGGGTTCCTGAGGCAATGTAGGAGCAGATGTGACTGTGACTGGCTGGGGTTTGGGGTGGTGGGCGTAGGGAGTGTGTGTTTTGGGTGGGTTGTGCCAGGAGGGCCCATTCCGTGGGAGTCGTCTTGGTATCTAAAAAAGGCATACACAAAGCTCACTATGCAGAAGTCCACGAGGACTCCTACCCA